CCCCCCCTCCCCTTTCTACTAGACCAGTGCTTCGCAAAGTGTAGCGATCACGTCAATTCGCTGGAGGCACCGTTTCGAATGTACTAGCGTTAGAGCTGATTATTCGTTGGAATAGTTGGAAACTGCAGCAGTACCCCTTCTTACAGTCCTCATCATTGCGGACCGGTGGGGCGTGTCAGCCAGTATGAGTGTGCACACTGTTGAAGCCGTTCTCAGCCTTTTTGTTGAAACGCGTATGCGACAAAAAGTGGTAGAAAACGAGTAATACGAAGGATATAATACAGTAATGTCACTTGCCCGCTTCAACAACTGGTGCAGAACGACTTTGGCACCGCGCCAAACGCAGCCGCACTGACACGCCCCACCGGTCCGCAATGATGAGGACTGTAATTGAGGATTCGTCCAAAGGCAAATGCTACGACAACACTGTCGATCGTGGGAACTGTAGTCAACTCTATTCTGCAGGCGCTTGTTGAATAAGCGATGGTGCTAGGTGTGCTCAACTCCTTGAACACTAGGAGCTGGTCATTGGTGGAAGAGGGATCTACAGTCCTCATCATTGCGGACCGGTGGGGCGTGGCAGTGCGGCTGCGTTTGGTGCGGTTTGGCAAAGTCGTTCTGCACCAGTTTTTGAAGCGAACAAGTGCATTACTGTATTATATCCTTCGTATTACTCGTTTTCTACCACTTTTTGTCGCATACGCGTTTCAACAAAAAGGCTGAGAACGGCTTCAACAGTGTGCACACTCATACTGGCTGACACGCCCCACCGGTCCGCAATGATGAGGACTGTATAAGTCAAAGCCAAATATCATTATTTTATCTATTTTCCCTTCGATGTATTTTATTTGAATAAAACCATGCACGTTTTTGAATGAGATGATCTTACAATTTAGGGGAAAATTGTTTATATTTCAGGGTAGTAAGGAAAAGAGGGGAAGCAGAGGAATAGTTGAACCAGTTGTCTGCCCCTCCTAATGGGTACAGTACACGACTAACGCTGATCGACATTGCCAGTGAAGTGCTGCTGAAACCATCATTTTATGCTGATGGTGGATCTCCGATTTTCCAGCCTTGTAATGGGACAGAAATCAATGATGGCAATGAGTGACCATCAGAAGGTGGGTTGCATTGCTCCTGAGTACGAATGATTTTGACTGCTGCGACTGCAGCATATTCTTGTATTAGTTTCAGCTAGACGATAGGAGAGACCGCCGGAGATGATCTGAAAGAATTCCATATCCTTTCTCGAATAAAGACAAACCCACCAAAAATCAAGGTGTGCATCGACCCCCTAGGACGGTCCTTGCTATGTATGTACGAGATGACCGGGTCCGTAGCTGCAGTACCCTGCCTTTTTTTATTGCTTAGAACCACAGAAACAGAGTTGGAGGGTAGCAGTACTCGGATGCTATTTCCTAATTCTTTCCGCGTTATTTCATGTAGCAGCACGTGCATCGATTCCAAAATCCTACAGCAAACACGCAAGTGGTGGTAAAGAAGAATCAGTAGAGGAGGTTTATAAAAAAATACGTTCAGCCACGGTTAGGCATGTTGCCAGCCATGCGGTAGCGTGGGTGGGGTAAAGTGTTGACACGCGGGTGTCAGTACCTTCCTGGCCCCAGTCCAGGCACTTTGAGCTTACTGTCAGAAAGTAGCACGCTGCTGCAGGTGCGGATTCATGCACCTCGCACATGGTAAGGATCACGACCCTGTGGGCAGATATGTCATGCTGTAGATTAAAAGGCGCCATCCGTTCTCCACCTTTTCCAACTAGATCACAAACTCTGTACCTAGTATATTGACAGTAAGCTGACTCACACAAATTTTTCCTTAGATTTAGTTTCTCGTTTTCGAAACAGCTCATGTGGCAGCATCATTTTGATTTGTGATTTAATTTCGGTAATCTTTCAAAATTACTTCCAAAAGAGTGAAGGTAGCACTGTATTAGTACCAGATCTCGCATGTCCTTACCAAAGACCTCCAATCCCGTTGGCAGAACCCTCCCCAAGAGACATCACTAATTGTGTGGCAGTAAACATATTGGGGGAAAAGCAAAGTCTGGATGAAATGTCCAGTCCCCACAATGGGAACAGCAATTTGCTTTGTATGATTCCCCGCTGTGGCAACTCTCACCTGTTCTGCTGCCTAGTGAATGATGCACGATCTGCTCATTGGCTGGCTGTCTGCTCTCCGTCAGGCTTCAGCATGCAATCCGTGGCTCCGCCCCATTTGCGTCGACTACCGTATCTGCGATATAGCTTGCGCATGAGGAATCGAAGCGTTATTCTGCTTAGCCTTAAGTATCGTACCCTCAAATACGTTGGTTTACAGATGCTGTTACTGCCAAAATTTATCTTCTTCATTCACTCTCACTCTTTCCACAAACCCTCATTATCGCTTTCCGTAGCATATACAAATAAATTTTGGCATACTCCGACAAAAATTTATGCCTTCTCCCTTTGTACTGTCAAACCTACCCTCTCAATAATCATAGTCTCAAAGCTGCACAATTCCTTGCTCAAGAGAAACTACCATAATTGTAGCAATGATTTGAGCAGCGTTGCTTGGATTACGGTTGCGCAATATCGAAGAGGATTTACTTGACCCTTTACAATCACAGTGGTGGCCTCATAGAGGTGAAATTATCGAAGACATTCACACATTGAAAGATTTCTCCGAGACATCTGCTCTATTTAGGGAGCTCTCTATCGGTAAATACACGTTATATAAGCAGGCTTTGTTATATAATGGGCTAGCCGATAAGTGATGACGTTTTTTCCTCACATAAATTTTTGTGTAAAATGTAGAATCATTCGCTGGTGTTCTCATGCCGCTAAAATTTTTTGCTCTATGATTGGCTTTCGATTCTTTCTTGATTTCTGTCAATGTTTAATTTACCAAAATGGACAGCTCCGGTCGACCCAAATGGGAGTTTTCGGCAAAATTTCCACTTAACCTAGACTCTCGGATTGCAAAGTCAGCTCAAAACTCGTGGTGTACACGACCACGGAGCGATGCTTCCTAATACGGTTTGGATTTGGTAAAAGCGATTGGAAGGTAGGAGTTTGTACCTTGTATATGTGCACCGCACGTGTTGCCCTCTTGGGAAGTGACTGGCTACACACCCCGTCTACTTTGTCAACTCAAGGTTTGTAACATCGCCCATCAAACGAAGATTATGCTCAATGGGAACGTAGAAGCATTCCATTACACGTACCAGTTCCCCCTCGTGGATCCCTCCAATCCCGAGGACAAAGTGATTCACAAAGCTCGCAGTTGGTCTCAAGGTGCGACGTGTTAGGTGGAACGTTCGTCTGTGAGGTTGAACTTGAAGGCTTTCGCTTTGACAGTCAGCACCTTCCTAAAAGACATCGCTTCTTGGTCATATACCTAAAAATAGGCCTCAAAGGTTAGAGTTTTTCAAGCGAATGCAAAATGATGTCGAAAACATTCGATTTTGTCGACTTGAAGGCGCGGTCCGCGATGACCTATGAAAATGCAAGAGGTTATGTGGGAAGGTAGTGCGGTCCGGAGTGGACAACCCTGTGCCAGTTTCGCGGCGGAAAGTTGTACGGTAAAGGGATTAAGGCGCAAAGTTGCTTCAGTGGTACATCCCTTTTTCCAGTGACTCCGCCTCCAGACTCCGCCTCCAAAGTCGGCCTTCCAGCCAAAAGTAATGCTCCCGGGCAAGTATCATGGAGTGGATGCATTCAGTATCTCTTGTAGAGTCATAAGGTTCATTACTGGGAATCAGCCGACGGGAATTGTCCCAGCGCGCGGTCTTTTCTTTTACCTCTACAGTTGTTTGAGGCTAGAGGAGGCCTGACGAATGCGTTTCCAACGTTCCCTTTGGCATTTTCTCTTCATAGATGGTTCACTTGGCGAATTTTCTTCCACATTTCTGCAAATCACCTAGGCTTTTTATCGCGAATCGTGCCTTTAAGATTCCAATTTGGCACTTAAAAATCAGTGCGAACAGAAGCTAAGTCATCATCTTATAGGGCTAGAAATTCTCTTTCAAATGGCGTAGACTCCATCGGTAGCTTCTCATCTTGAAGCCAAATTTCATTTGATTTTGCACTTTCGTTGGTTCACTAGTTCCGGTTTAGGAGTCTCACTCTGATGAGACCTGTAAACTCTTGCGAAGCTTGAGCAAGCTCGTCGAGCCATCATGGTAGAACCTGCCAACTCGAAGAGAAGTTGTCTAGATTAGTCGACACGTTGATGTGTAGCAGCAAAAGGGCAAAATGCCCCTCCCCCGTGGCCGAACTGCCCCTGTAGAAAGTTTTGAACAGTACGGTTTTCATTACCACCGCTTCAGGAGTTCAGGATGAAATATTCTTCATGTGCAATACAGCAAAATGTTGTAGTGACCGGATAGCTCGGGTTCACCACCTCCAGTCAGTCTTGTGCGCCGTACCTCTGTATTTCACATTACTCTTATACATCTTTGTTCGAAACTTGCTCACATTTTATAAATGGGGCGTTTTGCTCTACTTTTGTACAATTGATGCATTTTATTTCATTTTTACTGAGATTTGCAGAGATCGGTGAAAGATATCCCTCTACAGTTCCTTCCCTCTACTTCCAGAAATCGATTGGCGAGACTATGCAATTCTCGGAGGCCACGTTAAATATCTAACAATTATTTCTAAAAACTTTTTTAAATGATGAAACAACAACCAGTGAGGCGTTTCACTTGGATGTCAATCAAAATATTGACAACCTGGTAGGGATGGAGATAATCCACTATTAATCCCACCATGCGAGAGGATCGGTTTTGTTCAAATCATCAGCAAAATACAAGTTTCCAATGGAAATCTATGTCCTTTCGTTTTTTTTCTTATAAAATGTTAACGGCTGTACAAAAGCACTTAATTACTTCCATTTCTGGTCGAGTACCTGTATTTGCAGAGCTCTGTACAAGCAAGGATGATCGCCATCTGGAATTGTGGGTTTAAATGAGTCTCTCACTACTTTGCAAGGCGATATCTTCAATGACTACTCTGGAGGAAATCAGTCAGCCGATGAGTAGCACCTCGCCGACTATCTCGAGCTTTGTCGCGAGCGCATTTGGAATGTCTGTTGGTGAGTAATCTCTCTCTTTACTCTAATAGTAGCAGATCTGAATGAGTAGTTGTCCACGATCCTTTCAAAGCACTGTACATCTTCTTCCCACAATAGAAAATATGGTAAAGAATCAGGAGGTGGTCGCTTTACGTCGCACGCTGCCTCTGGAGCATAAGGCGCATTCATGTGTAAGTCGCACCTCGCTTCGAACTCCGCGAATCCTTCCTCACTTTAATTTTGCGAGGTTTTTTTCCGATGTTATCCATATTAAAGGCAAGGGGGACAATAAATCCTCAAGACGTGTAGGATTAATACGCCTAGCAAGACGGAATCCAGGCGTTGCGCGGCGCCTTTTCCAGGACACTTTCAGCGGCCTATCAAGCTGCAAGTAGTGACCTGGACGCCCACTGCGCCCACCCGTCCGCAAGTGGAGGACCGTACCTAATGCTCTAATCTGTTCATTTGCGGTTTACAGTATAAAGCGAAGGGAGCGAAGTACAATATGAAGCGAAGGGATTGATATGAAGCGGCTACATGGATATACGAGTACACACAAGCAGCCGTATCCACCGAGCGGTATTTGGCACGATACCATCAAGGAACTCGTCGTTTCACTTCGCTTTTCTGTCATTTTCCCATTATTGTGCACCCCTCCTAGCATTTTAGACCGGGTAGCAAATTCTCGTGCCCTATGCCTCCAGTAATTTATTCAGTGAGTGCGGTTCGAAAACCAATTGGAAGATTATACTTCTCAAAAAGGACAGGAAATTCTGGCTTGTCCACCAACTTTTCGCGCTCGTTGTCGCTTGCGACTCTGCGAAGTGATCCTTACACCCCAGAAAATAAGGCACACACATAAGCGCAACCACCCCACTACCTCTCGGTGTTTCCTTTTCCAATATGAACTTTTACAAGCACCCCAGAAACATATCAAGCAGGGGGCGAAGAAGAGAACAGTCCGCCAAACGAGTATTACACATAGAAAATTCTAGCGCCGTCGACTGCGGGAGGACACAGGTCGTCTGATAGAGCGGAAAAAACCAATAATCAAAAAATTTATCGAAATCAACATGGTTGACCTCCTAACCCAGTTGCCAAATTCCACTCAGTTGGGAGTTCTCCAACGAGGATCTGTCCAGGTTGGAATACACAGCAGTAGGCCGGATCCTAGCCTCATCGAATGTCGTTCTAACGGATTCATTGGGTGCTCTTCTCGACAAAGCTGTTCGAAGTCATTTTTATGCGTTGAGCCGCGTAATCCCAGCTTCTATCTGCGACCGCTTCGAAGAGCACTTCATACTTCTCAACAGCACCCCTCCAGGAGAAGTTGATAGATCAAGGAGGGCCACCTGGCGAGTCAAATGAGGCTATAGCAGAGGAGCTAGTTTCAGTTCACGAGCCGTACTTATGGTAACAGTCTGTCACTGCTTTGCGGTATTAAACTATGACGCGCGAGAAGTTCCATGGATTAAGCTCTGCTGAAACACGAGCTCCAGTATTGCAGTGTAGATAGCGTTAATAAGGCTCTCGACAGCCCTTGTAATTAGCTCTCGAGTTTCACACGTGCAGCAGCGGATAAAAGGAAGGTTTACGATTGAACGAGCTCCTGGAATTGGGTCGTAAAGTACACTGCTTTCTGCGCTAAACATCAGGATAAAGTTTATTGCTGGAGGTCTTATGTATGGGGTAAACAGCAAGTGAATCATTGAAATTACAGAAATATGTGCAGTATGTCACCTCGCCATATTGGAACGGTATTTCCTCGTTCTCGAGCACCGCTCCTATCATCCCCAATGCCTACGTTGTGCTCTTTGTCACTGTGGATTGTCCTATGAGCCTACTTGCTATGTAAAAGACGGGCTTGTTCTATGCCGTAGAGATTATACCGCGTGAGTTTCATTAAATTCCTATATTATCTATTTTACATTGTGCCAAGTGAACCAGGAACAAAGGACTGTCGCGAAGTTGTGTTTGGAGTCAGTGTGACCAGTCAGGTTTCTGGCACACGGCAGTATTCGTGTAGGGAAGTCTGGGGATAATACGTAATGGTGGGCAGACCAAGCACGTTGTACGATGGGAAATCTTCAGGGGAGGGGCGCATATGGCCTGAAAATGTTCCTTGATAGTTGACTTTTCTTGTTTCACGAACGTTATGAGTGGTGAGGGTCGCATTTGCCCACTGTTGTCCCCCCCCCTCCCCTTACTTGGTGGCGCACCAAATATCTAAAGTTCTGTACAACAAATATTTCTGAATAGTTGAAACTAGCAGTAATTGGTTGAAGACCTCACTCCTCGCACCGCCCCTCCCCGCTCAACAGCAAAATTTAAGGAAAACTAGAAAATTTTCGAAAAATTTGGAAAAACTGGTAGGGAGTTGTGGAAATCAAGGAAAGTAGCAGATAGGATGGGGTAGAGGGAACGTATTAAAGGATGGAGTTAGGGGGCTCGTATTTTGCAGAAGTTTCCCCATGATGATGGCAGGATCCTGATGATGTTACGTGTATGTACATACTCTGTTTGTTTGGGGGATGAAAGCTATGAGCAGTCGCTACTGATGTACCACACATACAATTGCGGAAAAAAACTTGGAACAAGCCCAAGCGGGGCGCTTTGTAGTTTTACCCACAATTTCTAAAATGCACAGGAAACATTGTTTGCTCAAAATGCTTGAAAAAGCTATTCATAAAAAAAAGGTGGTCGACTAAAGTCGTCGACGTAACCAAATTTTTCAATGCTGTGGAAAAGACATGTGTTTCCTGAGAGTTCCAAAAAAGCAGAGGAAGAAGGAAGCGAACGCTCAAATAGATGTGATCCTTCTTCCGATGAGCCAACTGGGACTAAAACATAACAGCTTACCTTGTTGCCGCGTAGGCTGAAGAACATGCCAGCACTGTCAAGGTTGGCGGAATGGTAAGGAGGAACACTACAGCTGCTACAAGACTGAAAAATGAAAGTTTGCACTTTCACAACACACTTTACAGGTTGCTGCACGCATTTCACTTCCATTTGCTGGCTCTTGAACATTGAGTTGCCTATCATAACTGCATTTCGCTGGGGGGTGGGGGGGGAGAAGGCTACCAATGTTAGAAGTCGATATTTATCCTGTTAAGACGAGCCTTGTTTACTGATTCTTTCCCGTAGACACGGGAGAGCTTCGGCTTGCCTGCGTGCGGACCCACCTGGGATGCGAACCCCAAGCAGCGCAGTGAACGGTGACGCCAGCTTGCCAGTGCAGTACCCTCTGTTAGACGAGCCTGTTACTGATTAGCTTTCCCTGTAGGCAGGGGAAGTTCGGTTAGCTTGGGCGAGACCCACCTGGGATTCGAACCCCAGAGCACCCAGTGATACGTGACGCCACTTGCCAGTGCACTACAGTCGTCATCCGGGCACTTGATTAGGGCGGCAAGGGTCGCGACGCGGCTGCGGCGTGTCACGAGCGCGGCGATCAGCTGTTTCCAGCCTATTTTAGCCATTTTCTCCCTAATTTACACTGTTATGGCTGCTTTTCTCGAGATTAGTTGTCCAATTAGGCTGGAAACAGCTGATCGCCGCGATCGTGACGCGGTCACGACCTGCCGCCCTAATCAAGTGCCCGGATGACGGCTATACCTCCGCTCAACCAAAATTTTGATATTCTTCTATTATAACTTACATCGACGCCGGTGTTCAAGAAGAGTATAGATAGCTCAGAACAGATGAAAATGCCTTTTCTAAGCTTGATCCAAAGTTTCTTCCTGACATCGCCCCAATTGATTGCGACTGTAGCTGATATCGTCGCAATCAATTGGGGCGATGTCAAGAAGGGCAGGTTAGAGGTCCGCTCCTGGGTGCCTTGCTCCAGCAATGGTGATCAGATAGTGATCGATCTAGGAAGAAAAATAGTGGTGGGAACAGGTGGGATCATTCCATCACTCCCTCGAACGACTGATCGAGTCAACTTAATAACGTAACCTAGCAGCTTCTGGGGCCTATATAGAACCGGCTCAAGGACATGAACCCTAGGTCGATTTTAACAAAACGGGAAACATGTCTGATCTCCACGAATGGTTCAATGGTTTCAGGAAGTTCCGAAAAACCTGCGCAAAATGTCGACTACGATTGGAAAATGATGATGTGGTGATGAGAGCACGTGATGCCGTCTTTCACGTGCATTGCTTCTCGTGTGTTGTAAGTTGACAGAGCATTCAAATGTTGTAGTTTTTTAAGAATATTTGCAACCACGTTGACTCAGTCCAGGTCTGCGACACTCCTCCTGAATGCTGGCGAAATCTTTACAATGACTGAACGGGGCGAAATCTTCTGTCAAAGTAGGTCTTTGCTATCGTAGCCCAGGCCTCGAAAGGCTCTTCAAGGATCTTTTCCAGGTCACCATGAGTTACCTCAGCTTGGACGAGCAAAGGCTTGCTATCGATCGTAAGGATGATTCTGACGAGCAAGAAGGTGAGTTTTGTTATTCGAACGCTTCATCTCCTCAACATCATTATAACACGTGGATGAAGGCCGCCCGCCTCCTGCACTTACATCCCCTACCGCGAGTGGCCTCATTAAAAGCTACCGTAGTCTATCGATCCAGCGCATCGGGGTAGGGCTTTGCACGAGCACGCTGCTTCATGTACGGGTAGGGTGGATAAACTAGTTCGTACAGCGCATCAGCATAGTTGGCGGGGGCATATAGAAAGTTCGCAGGCGGGAAAGAAGAAGTTAGTTTTACAGGTGTACAGTAAATACAGCGTGGTTCTACACCTATTCCTTTCATATATCGTCAATTATACGTGAACTGTGGAGAGAGATCGTGCAGCACGGGCCAGATTAGCGATTCTGCTATATGATAAACCAGGTGGAGGCGTATGATACTATCGGATCTCAAGTTTCAAATGGGACACCCGCGTTAATCCATATGCAAATCATTAGTAATGAGCACCTGCAGGCACCACACCCAAAAACAGGCGTGCATGAAACCAGGGTCTCTAAGAGCTGCAATGAGCTGTAAAGCCGAAACCTGGTCACTGGCACGTATAGGGCTAGCCCATGAGTGATGGCGTTTTTACCCACTCCAGATTTCTACCTGAAGATCAACAGTTTTGCCATTGAGTTTGTTCTATTAGGTCATCCCATTCAAAATGTGGAGACATATAGAGGAATGGCAGAAAAGCAAAGGGGATAGGGCAGCGGGCTACTATACCATTTGGAAGCTAGTACCTTTAGCTGTGTATCTGTGAAATTTGGCGAGCCTAGCCGCAGAAGAACTTCTCGAAAATTGGAGCCGCAGAAGATCTTCTCGAAAAATCGAAAAGAATTCCGAGTGCTCGGAATCAGT